TACAGAGTGTTGTATATTATCACACCAATTTTAACGGTATACGCGGTTAGACGTTGTTATATTTTTTGCGCGCATTGGTGAATATTTTGAATGTTTTTAATATTATATTGAGTTCAATACCTATGTTAAGAAAAAAAAAACGAAAAGTATGTGTATTATTTTACTGATTAATACGCGTGAAACGCATTATTACTTCAGCTCCCTGTATTCACGGCGGCGTCGACGGCGGCGAATCCGACCGACGATCGGCGACCAATCACAGAGCGAATAGACCCGACCAGGGGGTCCAGACGTCGCTCAGCGATTCATTTGGATGCGCCAAGCCGCCAACGCGGTGCGCTCTTATTTGGTACAGAGTATAGTCGTGTGTGTCGGCGTGCGCGTAAACTTGCGTACCGTTTTTGAATTGAGGTCACCAATGTGGTACATTCGGAGGTCACCAATGTGGTAATACCCGTGGTGCGTTACCACTGTCGTGGTCCGAAACGTGGTTTCGGGTACGCCGGATATTACTTATGTTTTTTGACACCAAAATCAGGAGGTTTCTAAGTAGGTAGGTAGGAGGTAAATGATGAAACGACAAATTCGATGGTGAATCGACTGAGTAATATTTTCAAACACAAAAATAGTTAAGATATAAAAATGACAGTTAAAAAGGTACGTAATAAAAACAGGTCGTCGAGACGTAGGGCTGCTCGAGTTTATGTTTCGAGAGCGAAAAAGCGAGTGACGATGGTAGCGCGCGACGGCGGCTTCGAGCGCGTAACGGCGAAGTCGCCGCGCGAGGCGGGAGAAAAAGTCGGGTCGTCACGTGACCAAAGACGGTACAATATTTTAAAATAATTTCACAGAGACAATAAATAAAAAGAATACAATATAAATCACAAAACGAATACAATGTAAAAAATGGTTATTTGAAAAAGGGCGCGCTAGCGTAAGTGGTGATAAGGTGCCGGAATCACCACAGTCTTGTAGACAGTCTGACTATATATATAATAGTGTAATCTATAACAGTGTAATCTATATTCTATGATCAACAATCGTCATTCGTCAGTGGTCAGCATGAACTACTACACAGGACTGGACACTATTGGCAGGAGGAGAGTAGGGGGTCGTCCACAAAGTTGTACATATTCGGTACACATGCGACACAGCGCCATCTGTGAGATAAGAAATATTTTGTTATATAAAATACCGCCTTAGTAGTTCATGCTTAAACTGTTCACTCTTTAAGCAGTAATTATTTTCTGATAATATTCTATAAATAGTATCATTATTATCTTGAACTGTGTTATTAATAATTGTTTTTCAAAAATTAAAAAGTAAATTTATTATCAGTTATTATCACTAATATCACTATTCTTTAGTGTTATCCTATAAAAAACGTAGTTCGTACTACTAACAGGCAGAGTGCAGTTACATCGCATGTGTACGAACCCTGTACAACTTTGTGTCCGTGATTTTCTCTGTAGTGTCCAGTCCTGTGTAGTAGTTCATGGTGGTCAGTTATCAGTTATCAGTCGTCGGCGGTGTGGGAGATCGCTCGTTCGCCGTTCCAAACTTCCAAGTTCCAAGTTCCAACATTGCCTATTGCTATTGATATTACAGTTCGGTTCTGGTACCAGTTCTTGAGCACGAGGATTTAATTTTCATCTGTCGGATTTATGGACAAGTTCACTGGTTGGATTCGACGTAAGTATCATCGTGACTTTAAAATTGAGTTGACTGATCGTTATTTGGTCAGCGTTCTCCGTTGAGGCGATATGCAATGCGGATATCAATAATAATTTTTACTAGTCCAACTCCAGTCTCTTATTATTTATTTGTTTGTTGGTATTAACGGGCATCTGCCCTTTTATAAAGTATATAATAATAAAATAGGTACAGACTATTGATATAAATTATAATTACAAAATTATGTCTGTATTTGATATTATGCTACTGCAATGATTTGTTTACTATAAATAGGATTAGCCATTAGGTATTTCAGTATCTGGGATATTTTAAAATTATATAATATATTTAGGTAGTAACCTAAGTAGTTTTATTTTAATATTCTACTAGGAAATAGGTATACAAGACTTGTAATTAGTACTGTATTTATAATCAATGGTACTAAATATACCATAACAATTAACATTTAACTGCGTTATAATTTATAACAAATGTTTTCAATTTATATTATTGATACACGTTTATGCATTTAGTAATTATAGTATTTAGTAGGTACCTTACCTACCTATTGTTTGTATACCTACTTGTACCTATTATTGAAAATTCAAAATCTATTGTAGGTAGGTATATTTGTATTTTTTCCAGTGTTCAATCGATATTCATACAATCATCAAAAAGTATAGTTAAACAAACTATGGAAGCCACAGCTTTTTAAACCTTATTTTTTCTATCATAAAATGTGCCTTCAAACACAAAAACTGTGAGGGTTGATAGGGTGCCTTGTAAAATTGTCGGATTTTGATAACTATTCTTTTATCTGAAAGAAGAAGACTTTCTACAGGCCGCATCAAACTACAATTTTTATTCTATTTCAAATAATGGTATGATCTAATTTGTAAAAGTCTCTTAAAATTGTATTATTTTTGAAGACATTACCTATAAAGTTTGAGATTAAAATATTGAAATGGAGTTTAATGCAGCTTGTAAAATATTACCCTCTACCTATTAGTTAAAGAAAAATTATCAAATTTGGTTGATTCTACAGAACAGAATTCTGAATCATTATTCCTGTAGAGCGTATTTTTGTGTACAAATTAACATTGGCACCGGGCTCTTTAAGTATTTGAATACCTACTTATATATAAATACTTTTTGACAAGTGTATTTTAAATACTTTCATAATATTATGTTTACTTTCTTTATAATTTATTCCAGAATACTAAATACCTAATTTTTTTCTTTTTACTGTCGTATTTCAACAAACACGAGAACAAACAATATTTTTGTTTCGTATATTACAATTTTAAAAATTTCTCTTAAAATAATATTTTATATTGCTATCAAGAATTTTCAAGATTTTATTAAATACGCAGATTGCACAATGCCTAAAATTCATATCTACCTCCCTGAAATTCTTTTCTAATTAAATAATGTATTTATTAATTTATTTTATTTAAATTATTATTAATAATTTTAAGTACCTATACATTTATGATAAATGTAAAAGCATTTTAATATACTACAAATAGTATTTGTAAAGTATTTCACATACTTTTAAAATGTATTTGTATTGATATTCAGTCACAGAATATAACAATAAATTCAGTATTCAAAGAAATATTTCAAATACAAATGACACCAAGTATTTAAATACGTATTATAAATACATTTAAAAAGTATTGTTAACAAAACTGTATAAATGTTACAAAAATTATTATCGTTATTAATAATCAATCACCTACATAAATACTAAATAGTTAAAAACCTGTCCGGTGACCAAATGTAAAATTAGTACAAACTATAAACTACCAATTTTCAGTTGGAACATTTAAAAAAAAAATGTAGCTTAAAAGAAGCTCGCTACATTTAAACAATAGAGTTAAAGGCAGCACACTACATTTAAAAAAAAGAAGCAATAGCCATAGGGAGCTAATTTTTCGGAGGAGTAACTGTGGCGTGAGCGCACTACAAAAAACTAGTAGCGACCGGATCACTGATATTTATCAATAAAAAAAGTTTTATTTCATTAGGGATGTTTACTATAATATTATAGTTAAATTTGTATTGCAACATTCAAAAGAATTTATCTGGAATCAATATTTAAAGAATTTATTTAAAAATACATGCAACATAAATCATAACAACACATATAATATTATACTATTTTTTTTGTAACTGAAACATTGAACTATAATTGTATTCATATTTCTTAGTCTCATTTTTAGATTACTCATGCATTGGCAAAGGTGAAGGCTCTTAAAAATATCTGCATGATTAGGTATATTATAGGTTGGTAGTACACTAGTACCTTCTGTAATATAATAGTATACTATAAAATTATAATGTAGGATTTGTAATTAATTATAAACTTTATTTATAATAATCATATTTAGTTTAATATTGCGCAATCTAGTGTTATATTGCTATCTACCTAATTACAAATAATGATGATAGTTATACTGTTATAGTTCTTATAATCACTGTGATAAATAGGTAAAGTACCTATTTACAATTTTATAAATAACCAAGGGACTATTCTTCTAACAAATATTTTTTAATTAAGTACCTAACTTTTTTATTTTAAATTAAAACTAAAACAATTTTAATTTTTTTTTAAAAAATCTCGTCTTCTGAAATTAGTTTTTGAAAACAAAGTACTAAAATCGTAAGTACATATAAATGTATACTTATCCTAGATGTGGGTGCTTAGTATTTTTTTACTGTACATACTTTATTTATAATTATTAATATTAATACAATAGTTTTTGCATAGGGTAGATTTGAATATTGTTTAAACATAATTTTTCTTACAGTTTATTTCCTATTTTTCATTTATATGTTAAGAATCTGAATAGGTATGGTGTGAAATTACCAAAAAAATACCAAAGTCAATCTTGTTATTTAGTTTATTATTAATGATTGATATTCAACATTCAAATGTGGCACTTATAAGATTTTTCAAATTTTCCCTCTACTCCATTTATGGGATACATTTGAATAAAAATAAGTTAAACTTTGTAATTTTAAATTGTAAAGTTATTGCATAAATGGGGTTGTAATGAGTCGTATAATATTTGTAAACTTCTATACTACAAATTAATATTATTAAATACATTATTTCTTAAAAAATAAAATGTTGTTTTCATTAATATTTGCCCAATCCACACCTACCTTAATTCTTTTATTAAATTTATAATTTTTGTTGTAGGATATTAATTGAACATTTGAATTAATAAATGTAACAATTATAACTTTTAAAACCAGTGATTTTATCGTCATCAAAATAGTTTGAATATTACCTAGTATATTGAAATTGCAGTGTCATAATGGAAGAAGAAAGGTAATTCAATTACTAAAATCCATTAGTAATATATTTTTTAAATTTATTTATTTATAATCTATGTATCTATCTATGTTCAGTATAAAACTAAATGAAAATCCAGTAAAACATGAATTTGAAGCTGAAGAAATTCAAAATGAAAAAAAGAAAACATTTAATTGGGCTGAGGTAGTTTTACTGTAATGCTATTCATCAAGGAATAATGTTTATATAAAATTGTGTATTTGTGTGTTTAGTTTTTAGCTTGTGTATCTGTGGCAACTACTAACTTACACACAGGATTTGCTTTGGGATTTTCTGCAATACTTATACCACAACTTGAAAAATACAATGATGAAATGGGCAAGATAAGCAGTTCTCAATCTTCCTGGATTGGTTAGAAAATGTTTTTTAGAGTATATTTTTATATGAATTTTAGTATTAAATAAAAATTCAAATAATCAATTCTTGTTTTATATCTCTGACCATGGTTCAACCATATTTTTTTTGTAAAATTTAAAATATAAATTTTCTTTATATGGTTATAAAGGTGAATCATTTATAATTTATATATAGCAGAGCTTCGCAACCTTTTTGGTGTCAAGAGCCACAAAATTAAAAAAAAATTTTCACGTGCCATACACCTTATTTTATTTTACAGTTTAAATTTTAAATTTTAAACAAAGTATTTAATTTAATTCATTTAAGTTCAACGCTGTTTGGTATATTAATTTGTTATTAACATTATCAACTAACATAATGTGATATTCCATATTTTTATACCAACTATAAAATAATCGCGGGCATCATAAAATCGCTACACGGGCCGCATGCCGACCCCTGATCTATAGAATCAATATAAATACGATTAGTAAGCGTAAAATGTTTTAATATGTTATAGTAAAAATGTAAATAAATATAATGGTATATTTGTATATTTTATGTTTAATTAAACAACACATTAAGAATTTAAATTATTTTTTAATAGAGTAATACAATTCATTAGTTAATTTTTCACTCAAAATATTGTTCAGAGAATTCATTTACTAATTATTAGTAATTTAAAAAAATAACAATTATTGAGAAATCATTAATTACATTTACAAGGCTGTTTTCTATATATAACTTTTCAGATGTTCTTATGTTTGCATGTAGCCAGCAGTATTTCAATAGCTGCTCCATTTGGATGTCTGTTTATAGCTTTTACGCTGGATAGAATTGGTCGTATATCCACGTTTAAAATTTCTCTATGGCCATGTTTTATTGGATGGATGTTAATTGCTCTTGCTTTTAACCCAAAGATTATCATCATTGGAAGATTATTGACCGGATTTGCTATGTGTATGATAGTTGTTTAATTAAGGATTTTAAATATTTTACACTGTGCCATACTATTATATTGAATACTATTATTTAGCTGTTGGTACAAATTCAGCCAATGTGTATATGGCAGAAATATCTAGTCCAAAACTTCGAGGTTCCATGATGTCAATAGGTTCTGTGATGTTATCATTTGGTAGGTATTTAACAAATAAATATTTCCAACTCAAATGAAGAGCATGAAAAATAAAAAAAAATTTCAATAAAATGTATATTATTTTTCAGTGAATTCTGCATTTTGTACAATTATAATTATTTGTTTTTATTATTTATTATAATAACAATTTTTTCGTTTAAATATCAAAGTGTATAAAAACTGATTTTTTTTATTTATTTAGGAATATTATTAATGTACTGCACTGGGTTATATCTACATTGGCGTATTGTTGCATGGATAGCATTTGTTGGGGCAATTTTCCCAGTTCTTATGACTGCATTTTGGACACCTGAAAGTCCTGTTTGGTTAATTCATACAGGGCAAGATGTTAAAGCTTTAAAATCTTTATCATATTTAAAAAACTCTAAATATGTAAGTTATTTTCAAGTATATTTTTATTATTGAATATTATCATAAATATTATATAAATTATACAGGTAATATTATTTAAATTAAAACTATATTGTAACTTTTATTACAAATTATTTTTTTATAGTGTGCAGGTGGTGTACAAGAAACTTTTAACGAGATGAAAAGTATTAAAGAAAAAAAAGATTTATTAATTAATAAAGAAATGGAAAACAGTAATGTGTTTAGGCGTATAGCCTGGCATTTGTCTAAGCCAACTGTTTTTAAACCTGCACTTTTTATGGTTGTATTCTTTATTTTACAACAATTTACTGGAATTTATACATTTCAATTCCACGCTGTTAAAATGTTGCAAGTAATTAAATTATAATTAAATATTTTAATATACTTTTTTAATAATTCATTGTATACTATTAAAGGAAGTTGCTCAAGGTATCGACATCAAATTTGCCACTTTACTGTTTGGTTTGTTTCGGTTCTTATTAAGTTTTGTGGCAACAGGAATGTTACATAATTACGGTAGACGTCCACTGTGTATGATTAGTGGTATTATCATGGGAATTACCTTGTTCATTTCTGGATTATGTTTTTGTTTAAGAACTAATGGTAATTTAAAATTCAGTTATGCCTTATAAGTACTTATTATTTAATTTAAATATTTTTATTAAATGAATATTATATTGTTAATAGTTAATATGTTTGCTAGGTATTCGTGCAATATTATTATAATTAGAATGTTGTGTTCATGTAAAAGTACATTTACTTTGAAGCCTGAATATGAACGAATGTTACCAAACAAATTCAAACGCTTTGATCAGACCGCCCTTGGGACAAACGCCAACGAATGAATTTGTTTGGGTTTGGCTAAACCATTTACATTGGTTTGTTTGGTAGCATTTGTTATTTTGTTCCTATTCGAGCTCTAATATAAACCCACCTCAAAGCTGTGAACAGCTAAGTGCAAACATAGTTTTCAATATTACTAACTAGGAATGTAGTAAATAAGTAGCAACTAAATAGTAAATTTGAATAATTTAAGATTTATTTCACTAATTACTATCACAATTTGATAAACAAAAGCGATATAAATATAAAAATTATATGTTGATCAGTGCTATATCACTATGGCTGGATACCCAGTTCCACTAGTTAACATTTTTACTACTAGAGTATTACTTAAGCTTGGAAATTCCCATACAACTTAATAAATATTTATGTTAACCATACCTAATTCATTTTTAGTTTAATTTAATTTATTTGTTTTGATAGGTGATGAAAGTATTATTATGACATGGATATCATTATTGTGTATGTTACTCTATATTTCGGCTGGCTCTGTCGGCATAATGCTGATTCCGTGGATACTGCCCAGCGAAATGTTTCCGACCGAGGTAAAAGGATTACTTATTGGACCCATTATGGCATGGTGTAATGCAGTCATGTTTGTTGCAGTTCATTTTTACGAGGATCTTAAAAGAATATTGGGTGGTATGCTAGGCATTTTGTGGTTCTATAGTTTCATATCATTTCTAACAGTGTTTTTTGTGTGGGTGTTTATTCCCGAGACACATAAAATGAAATTATTCGAAATAGAAGATTATTTTAAAGATAATACTATATTCTTACTAAGAAAAAAAAAGACTGTAAAAAACGAACAATTGTGTACGTAATATATTGATATTTATTTTTATATGGAACAAATGTTGTTATAATTGTAATTGTAAATTGTTCTATATTCATATTCTAACTTGAATATACTCGATATAACTTTTTGTTCAAAATGTTCAATATTAAATTAAAATTCAAAAATTATTTTTTAGTTTTTGTAACAAATTGTTACTGAAAAAATAATACTGTAAAAATGAACTATTTATGTTTGGTATATATTAATAATAAACTTTTCTTAAATATAAGGTCATATTTTTGTATTGTTACGTCTTACTATTTTTAAATAAATAATCACCCAACTTTTTTAGTATGTGTATGTGGTATTCAAATTGTTTAGTATTAACTAGGTATGTGTATTTAAAGAAAAGCAAGAAGACAATATCAAATATTATCAAGAAAAAAACAGAAAAATGTTCGTGTTTGGTGTTACAAGTGACAGGTCCACCCTTATTAAATGTGTTTGATTATTTGAACAATTGGAAAATGAAACTATCAACTCTGTAGAAAAATTACTTATTGTGCCAACAAAAACTACAATTCATATTAAAAAATTGGTTTTGTTAATGAATGCTAAATTTACTATATCATCAATTCATTACAGATAGTTATGTATAGTGACACAAGAGTTAAAGGAAAAATTATAAAGTTCCTTCTAAAATTCATGAAAATAAATTCATGTTTAAAATACGTCGTCCTAGCGACAGCGTTGCCAATATTTGTTATCTGGGAAAGTATGACAAAATTACTGTACTATAAACAATATTACCGTTCTTATACCTATTGTTCTATTACTAGTGCAAAGTTTTCAATCACTTTCAATCGGCTAGGTATTGTATTTTTTTTTTTAATATTTTTATTTATCTATATTGATATTGTTTTTTTCATATTTATTTTAAAATAGACAAATTTAGCAATATTTTAGTCCAAAATTCCAAACCTAATCAATATGATATCAAAAATAAACGTATCAAATATCAACGAATTCTAAAGGTGAAATATACCTATTTACTATTAACTTCTCAATTAGATACGTTTACCCTATCCCTATGGTTTATGAGTATTGGCTTATTTCTGTGTTATAGTCATTAGGTTGGTCCCACGGCTGCGTGCGAGTTGATTCCCGGGTCATTACATATTATTTCAAAACTTAGTCAAAATATATTCAGCCCATTAGCCTAAGCCTAACCCAAGAAATAATATGAGGAGGGTAAGTTTCTCAAAAATTTTGTTATTTTTAGTTTTTTCATATTTTGAAAATCATTCAATTTTTGTTAAAAAATTATTATTAAAAAATGTTGTTATTTGGTAAACATGCATCACACATTGTTTTTAAAAGTTGGTATCTGGTAATGAGATCAACTCACCTACTGCGGGTCCCGTGGTACCTACTATAACATTATTGTGAATTTATGGAAAACCACACAACGTCTCATTTTCACTGTCAGGTAAATTATTAATTTATTTTTAAAAAATGTTTACAAATTACAGAATTAAATTGTTTTCACATGTTATTCACGGCTCTCAATTCTTAATATTATTATCATACAGACGTACAGACTACAGACGTACTCATTGGTAGTATAGGTACCTACTCACTAATCACTACCTATATTATAGTCACTGGTCACTAGCTCATTTAGTAATGCGGTATTCACTAGTCACTAGTCAGTGGACGTTTTGCTGTTACGCTACAAATTTACAATCTTCATAATTTTGTAATTATTGATAATTATTAATAAATCCAATATATTATTTATAATTTTAAATGTCTCCGAAAAAAAAAATTATGCGTTGTAGCTCAGTGTATAAAAAAGGTGCTCTGCTGTACAGTAGGTTACAACTTACAAGTGGATCACTGTATAATGGATGGTATTGAATTTGAATTCAATGATATAATATCAATATATCATTGTATAAAAAAAAGCTTCTGAGCGAAAACGGTTAGTCAGCCTATGATATTACGAAGTATATTTGATGATACTAAGGTGAATAAAGTAATTTAAGCTCCTGATATAAAATGTTATTGATATTTGTAGAAAAAAAAATAAAAAAATTTAAAACTGACAATGTCTGTAAACAGCTCAAAAAGAGTCAAAATATTCAAAATATTAAATTATATAGTGTATAGGAAATGCTAGTATAAACATTCAGTGAAATTTTCAAGTATCTACAGTTATTCTTTTTTTAATTAGGTACCTACAACGGCTACAACAAAATTAGAAAATCGTTACATAAAAACTAAAAAAATTGGAAACTGAAAATGTCAAAATAAGTCAAAATATATAAAAAAATTCATGGTGTGTAGAAAATGCTAATATAAACAGTCAGTAAAAATGTCATGTATCTACGGTAATTTGTTTAATTGTTTTAGAGTTACACCGAAAACCAAAATCGATTTTCTCGAAAACAGATTTTGAGTAAAAATTCCCGTTATTCCTTAATTTTTATGTGTTTAATCCCGGCGCTTGTGAAAACTTTTGGGAATTTTAAAATTTGACCTCCCGAATGCACCAACTAGATTCACTTTCCAATCGAACAAGATACTGAAGTTGAAAATCGAAGCATTATTTCCACTATACTTATCGTGTACACAGACACAAAAAAAAAAACACACATCATTGTTAAATCAATACATTCATGATTCATCGTTCCACTCAGAATCTAAAATATTAATGGGTGGCTACTTCAATCATACCTACCTTTCATGTCATATACTTCTCTCATCGTCTCTCATCATATAAACTTATTGTGCTAATTTGTATTTGATTGTTTGTAAAAAAAAAAATTGTATTTCTAATCAAGTTTTACTCGAATTAAATCATTCGAAAACCATAACCTATAAGTTATAACTTATAATGTATACTTCAATTATTAGTCTTTAATATTATGGAAGTACTTATATAATAAATAATAATGTAACATATTATAGGTAATTATTAGTGTTACCTATATTGTATTAAAATATATTTGTGGTAATATTTTAAGTTTTGAAGTCCAATCAATATGTTATTTTAATATAATTTCCATATCGCTATTATAGCTTATAAGCACCCATAGCTACTACCACCCGGCTAACTCCACAAATTCTAACTAAACGCTATAAGATGCCCCCCATTGTCTATAGCAGGGGTCACCAACATAGGCGCACATTGGGGGTGAATTTAGGGGGTGCTGGAATAATTTATGTTACACAAAACCGAAGGGGGCTTCGCCCCCACACCATCCTAAATCCGAATACTATAATAAATTGCATTGCAATCATTTTAAATTTGTATACAATTTGTAAATAGCAATGAATCAAGTGGTTATAACCTTTCATTGATATAATTACGATTTTCTATAGTATGATTGCTGCTTATTGTTTAATATTTTGACGACAACTGAAACACTGAAACGTGCATTTATGCAATACTGTTTTAATCGCAAATTCGTGAACTGTTGTCTATTTGTAATGGAAAAAAAAGTCCAAACCACAATAATGTAGGTATTAATGATTGGTGAAATACTGAAATAAATTTCATAGGGAACTGGGGGTGCTAGTTTAAACCTCGGGGGTGCTAAGCACCCCAAGCACCCCCCTATTATGTGCGCCTATGGTCACCAACCAGTCCATCGCGATCTAGAAATATAGGTCGATCGTCATAAAACTTAATTTTACCATTATCGGTCGATCGTGTAATAAATAATCGGATAATATGGATTGCTATTTTGTATTCTAGGAGTTTACCATTATCGGTCAATCGTTATAGTCAGAATTTTTTTTTTTTTTCATTTGAAAACAAAAGCCTCGGCGACTAAGGGCCATTGACTACAATAAATAGGTAGGTAGTCAGAATTATTGTCAGTTAGGTATAACTCGACTGTCAATTAGTCGTCACGTGGAAGTGTGCAAAGCGTACCTAGGGTATATGTTCCGTATATTTTCGTTATTACGTTCCAAATTTATTTAGAATTTAAAACAAATAAAATGACCTTTTTTTTTTTTGCTTATAAAACAAATCTCTTCCTAAAGAACTAAATTCTCCTGGATGTCGATCACCTGGGGCTAAAAATTTCAAATGTAGCTCACTTGTTTGAAAAGGTTGGCGACCCCTGGTCTATAGAGTTATTTGATATTCGGCGCACTCTACACTTAGATAGGTCAAGTCATTATTAGGGACCAAAAGTATAAGTTGATTAAGTATAAGTATTAAGTATACTGCTTTGGTATTTTTATTATAATCAATTATATTACGCTCCAACGGTAATAATTATTGTAATTGAAACGCATTTGTTTTGTTTATTGTATATCGCCAAGACGTTAACAGAGCAAATTGCAATTTCCGAACAATTAATCATGCACCGAAACAACCACGATGCTTTTATCATATTGATGGTAGGTAATTTATTTACCCCGGTGAAATATATAAGGAACAAATATACTGAAATACACCATATTGCTTATAAAATATTTCCGAAACCGGCCTTCTTAGCGCTTCTTGGTGGACAATTGTGTAACTAAACTGCCGTAAAAACAGTACTCATTTATTTCTCATACGTACAATTGATAGCGACTACACCGTTTTACCTACATCGTGATCAAAATCATCTTTTTCGTGGCCACCTGCCGATGACCGCCGGCAAGGTCCACCAGATGACGCTCTAATAATCATCGCTCATCAGTGATGTCCGTAGTTTTGGATTACAGGTACGCCGTTGATATACGTCACGGACTAAGTTAGTAGTATGCTTTTTAATATAGTTATGTCATTATAAATTGTAAATTGTAAATTTATTAAATATATATGGCTAACAAATTTACTTACTATAGTCACTTATATATAGCGGAA